AGAAAAGCGACCCGACTCTCCAGGAACCAAAATCTCAAACCAGGATGCTCTTGGCGAAGCCGAATTCAAACGTCAGTTCCCGCTGTCAGCTGAACATCCCGTGGCTGTGGTGTAAAAGGTTGAGGGCCAGCTTTATGGGGCTGAGGACTGATACACTAATAGGTCGGGTTTAAGGTCTAGTTTTGTAGGCCCTAAACCTCCTAAACCGAAAACCCGATTATAGGCACTGGAGTGAATCGCCATGGAAGTTTCCCTCTGCTCCTGCCTTTACCGGAGCCTGGGCAGCTGTCTTGCCTTTCTGTCACAGCTTTTCCTCCGCCTGGACCTTTATGTCCTGGGGCATTCTTTGGAGATCGGCACCTGCAGGACGCGGGAAGAAGCACTTTAGTCATTTTAAGCCAACAAGGCATGAGGCAGGGAGTATAAAGCCTAAACCTTGGGTTTAGGGTTATATAAGCCCCTTGTTGCACACCAGCAGCTTAACCCGCTTGTGTGCAACAAGGGCTTGTTTGCGAGTTACAACATTAGCTGCATGTTTGACCTAAACCCTATAAACCCTATAGGGTCTATAGGGTTTGTATCCCCTTAAACCTCAACGCTTGAGCCGAAACCATCATATTCAAAGTCTGCCAGGAGAAGCAGCAGTTCTGGCACAGGGCTTCCACTCATCGCAGAAGGTGCGGCTTTTGAAAGGATCAGGGGGCTTAGGGTTTCAGATCTACGTAGTGGGTCCGGGAGCTGATGATGTAGTTTGAGTATAGTATAGTACTACAAGTGTGATTTCCTTACCTTTTAGTTTACATGTCTTAAATTCCACTCACCAGTCGCTCCGGAAAGCTCTTGTAGGCAAAAGCAGACAGCTGAACCTGTAAGGCCAGCCCCACCCAGTAACAACAAGCGAACCTCCCATGGACCGAACAAAATCCCTGACTGAAGCCCCAGAACCCCTTACCGAAAGCAGACGGAAACTACTCTAGATCCAGAAAGCCCCAGAGGCAAGCCCCAGAGGCAAGCCCTAGACTGTTTTGCTTTCGAGTGTACTCTGCAATGCGGGCTTCGTCCTAGCTAGGTGGGAGGCAAAAACCCGAGACTCCCACAACCAGTGAACTAAAGCCTCGTCGACCCCTGCTCCAACACCCCAAACGCCAAGCGCCAAAAACCCCCGAAGCCCCATAGACCCTTAAACCCCTATAATTAGCCATAGGCCCCATAGTAGTTCCTTTGTGGGGTTCATATTTAGAATCCTATAAGGTAACCCCCAAAAAAGGAACTACTATGGGGCCTATTCGTAGCCCTAAACCCCTAAACCCCTAAACCCTAAACCCTAAACCCCTATAAACCCTTAAACCCCTATATAACTAGCCTATAACCGCTTCCAGGCGTGGTTGCGGAATCGCAAGCACTCATCGCCGAGACTGCTGGGCAGCTGGGCCTGGGTGACTTGCCTGAACCATACCTGTAGTCTTGTAGTACAGTATAGTAGTATAGTAGAGTATAGTATGGTATAGTATAGTTTAGTTTAGTTTAGTATAGTATAGTATAGTATAGTATAGTACAGTATAGTATAGTATAGTATAGTATAGTGTCATAGTATAGTGTTGTCTCCATTGTAGGTCCTTTTTCTGGTAAACCAGTTTTATGTCTTTTTTATGGTTAGGATCCTCGTATAAAGTTGGTGAGCCAAAAAAGGGGCCTGCATGGAGACTGCTGAATGGAGACTGTAGGTAGGGTTTGCACAAGCAGGTGACTCGGGTTGGGTTACCACGTAGTCGGGTGTATGGGCTTGCGCGGTGGCCCGGGTGGTGTGGCGTAGGGCTGGGTGTGGTGGTGGCAGGTGGTCGTTTGAAAGCTACCAGCCTGCCTCGGTTTTACAGGACTTGTCCAATTCTAGGACGTCATCGGGGTTGAAAGGGATCCGGTCGGTTAGTCGGTCGGTTTCGGGAAGGGGTCGGGCATGACCTGAAATGGCTCACTATGAAGGGCTATTCTATTGAAGGTGCCTTTACATTCCTGGTGTACCCCTCGCCAGCAAGGTGAGGAACGGCTCCGGGACAACGACAACTGGGTGCTCTTCCTTCTGGCGCCTCAGTTTGTTCAGAGACTTTCGGGTTTTGGCCGCTTGTGGGAGGTTTCGGGAGGTTTGTCTGGTGCTGTCAAGAGCTCTGCTTTGGCAGACGGCTTACGGCTTGAGGCGCTCTGTGTACTGTTGCTGTCCTGCTAGATTCTCGCTTTCAGGTATGCTAGGCTTCGGAATGCATCGTCTGTTCTTCATTCCGAAGCAACCCTGATCCTAAGCGGCCTCAGACTTTGGCCGAAGCCGTAACACTAGTCAGATTGGATATAGATTGAAGTTCAGGTGTCGATACCTCTTCGGTACGTCATTAACCCGCTGGTGTTTTTGGTGGACCAGTTCGGGCTTTGCGTTCGCTGCTTGGGCGTGCTGCTTGTGGGAGCATCAGCTGTCTTCTTCGTGTGGTACAGATCCTTGGCCATAGATTGAGCTTTCGAACTCTGGTGTCGGCTAATTGGCTCCATAGGGCTTTAGGGTTTGGGAACCCTAAACCCTGAACCCTAACTCTGGATGTATGGGGTTTGGGCGGTAGGATCTAGTTCTTAAGGTCCAGGGGAAGTCCCGAACTTGTTGGGGCTCAGGGCTGTAGTGCCCAGGACAGGCTTTTCTGGCTATTGGTCTAAACCCCATGAAGATCGAGGTTTAAATCCAGCGTTTTGGTACAGAATATAGTATATTTTGGTAAGGAGCCCTCAGGAATAGTGTCGGGAGTTGTTGCTTAATATGGTATATTGTGATCAAGAGCGCCCTAAGGAATAGTCTCGGCAAGTTTGTGCTTAACACCGTACACTGTGATGTGGAGCCCTAAACTCGGTCATTCTTGGGGGGGGGGCCCCGACTTTACACGCAAGCCGTGCACTGTACACTCCATCTACCCCAGGTCTGCAGCTGGGGGCTCCTCAAACTAAAGTTATAGTGTAATATACCCCGGAACCCTATTCAAATTGAGGCCCCTGTATTGTATCTTATATGGTTAGAAACTATTATTCAAGTAGCTGGAGTTCTGGGGATAGCCTAAAGATCCGAAATTTGAGGATCGTGAGACATCGGAGTTCAATGCCTTCCTCACTTGCTTAGGGCCTGAAGGCAGCATTTACCCTAAGGCTCCGTATATCTATTTATATAATCCATGCCATACTTAGGTCTTAAAGGGGTTCCTATAAAGGTGTTTACGGCGTAAGTAGAAACTCTATAGGTACATGGAGCCTTAGGCTTAGGTTCCTAGGTCCTGCTGTAAGTCCGGATAGGCCTGAGCGTGAGTTCTGTGAGCATGCTGCACAGGCATTGCCTTAAAGCCTCGCGTGCGGTATATTACTCCGGCTAGTGTTAAAGACCTCGATGCAAGAATCCGGATCTATTCGGGGTGTAGAAGACAGCGGTCGGGATGTCTGGCCGAATAGTTAAGCAGCGCTTCGCAGTCCTTCAGTTGAAGTGTCGCCCCGCTCTGCAATCCGGGAGGCTAACCTTTAGTTTGCCGAAGGAACTCAAGGCATGTACTGCCTTGGTTCCATTGGGATGGTCTGGCATGGGATACCCTAAACCTTAAACTCTAGGCTCCAAATCGTAAGGTAGTATCACAGCGGGGACATCGCCCAATAGTCAAGACAGACTGCCGCAAATCAAGCGAAAACTCCTGCCCTGGAGCCAGCTTACGGGTTTAGGGTCTTAGGGTGTAGGTTCAGGGTGTAGGATTCAGAGAATAGGCTGGAGAGAGAGAGAGAGAGAGAGAGACAGCGAGAGGGTTTATAGCTTTATACACTGTAACAGGTGCAGTCAGCCGAGGCTCGAACTTAGCACCTGAACCGCACGACTACCAGTCCTTCGAACAGCTGGAGAGGAGTTCCCTTCTCCCTGCACTTCTGCTTGTTTGCACCTTGAGCCTTGGGCTCAATGGGAAAATCTCAAGAGAGCGTTGTGGTTTTGCAATCGTACGATTTCCCAGTCTCTGCTCTGGAAAGGGGAGCACCTACTCAGCTAATCTCAGCCCCAAGCAGAACCACTTCAACCGCCCAGAATCATCCTTGTCTTCTTCTCGCTGGCCAACCTCCGATACCTCCGTGCTGGGACAATGCCTCCCATGCCTGTGACCTATGCGCTGTTGGTGGGCAAAGTCTTCCTCCTCATGCGCATGGCTATGAGCGCCTTGTATAGACAGACTCGTGCGACATCGCGAAATGAGCGCCTAAGCTGTCTCAACTTGATGCTTTCTTTCCTGGGCCTTTCTTAGGTTACTCCAGCCGTGACATGACTGTGGCGCTGGACTACTTCGTGAAGCAGGAGCTGATTTTGATCAGTTGCCATGCCCTGGGGTCCTTTTTCTTGGTTCCTTGGGCTGTACCGACATCAGAAGCCGAACATGGCTCGCAAGAAGCTCCCGCCATGCGGGAGATTGAGAAGCGCATGGCTGTGATCGCTCTTATTGACTTGGGAAAGACGCTGATCATGTTGCTCTACTGGTGGCAGCTTTTTGCGCCCGGCTGCATCGAAGTATATGTATCCCGTGCCCCAGCTATGTGGGCCCAAGTCGTTCTTGCACTTGCCGTGCACCTTTGGCTGGATCTGCTGCAGAGTGCCATAACAGTGTTCACTGTGCATCTCGCCCGCCTGCGACATTCTCTGATGCAGCTGGCCTGCCGTGCCGAGGACCCTGGCACCTAAAAAAGAGCGTTTTCTACCCACGCCGCCGCCATTACAGCATTCACTGTCGGCGCCCTCCTGCTACTCCTCATCATCATCATAACAACTGCCAACACCATCATCATCATGCTCAACACCACCACCAACACCAGGAGCACAAATATCAATATCAGCATGGCCATCGTGAACATCACGTTCGTGTCATTCTGGCCGGCATCAATTGAATCAAACGAAAGCCCCCACGCCTCAACTGAAACAGCCGTTGCAGGTCTGCTTCGAGGTAATGGAACTGTGCGCACTGTCATCAGCATCGTCATGCGTATGATGATGGTGATGTTGATGATGATTTTTGATTATGGTGATGATGATGTTGATGATGATGTTGATGATGATGCTGCTGATGGCGTTGGTGATGACGATGATGGCGGTGATGATGATGATGCTGATGACGATGATGATGATGAGCAGGAGGAGGAGCTAGAAGACTATGTAGGCTGAACCACCAAAAGCACGCTCGACCTTGTGTGCCGAGCTTGGACCCCTGGAGCGCTGGATCCGAAAACCCTCAAGGTGGCGTTGCGTGCAACAGGCTTAAACAAGCTCTTAAACCACTATCGTTTTGGTACTATATACCCCGAACCCTCAACGCCCTAGATAAAACAAGCTTCCAGATTCCAGACCCTAGAACTAAATGCTTGAGAGTCCTTGGGCCAGTCTCTAATTCCTAACGTGTACAGTAGATTTATGCAAACAGTAACAAGTTACCAAGCGCAAACCGTAGACTCACGTGACAACCACACAGAACTGCACCCCAAACTCTTGTTTTTGGCTTCGCCGGCCTGCCACGAATCCCAAAACTCGAGTCAGCAAGGCTGTAAGAACAAGAAACTACTCGTATCAAGCTGAAGTCCCATAAATCCTTCTGACAAACCCTAAGCATTAGGACCCCCAGGCCCCTTAAGGCCCTCATCCCGAAGACCTTGCAAGCCCTCGATTTGTTTAGGCTTCCAAGTCCTCGGTGGTCTTTCCAAATTAACGACCGCCTTCTTGCGTGCCCACCAGGAGGCCCGCGACAGAGCTCTGTCGTCGTAGTTTGGATTTGAATAGTGGAAGGGGTTCGTACAGGCTGTTTGTATGGGTTCTCACGTCGGTGATGCTCCCACAGAGTGGGTTCGAGGGTACGTCGATGCTCTCTTCTTGATGGCTAGTGTTGAACACGTCCGTTCAGAGGGTGGGTTCTTTCCGTCGAAAGCATTTCAGCACAGATTCAAAAGCACGTCTTCCATTGCAACACGACCTAAAAGGCTTCTAGTTTAAACAAGACTCAAGGTGGGCTATTGGGTTTTACATGGGCTTCCGAAGGTTTTTCACAGCTCACGTTTCGAGAGCATGACAATTAATACGGCAGGAGGTTCTCTCATGCAAGAAGAAATTTGGATCACGAGAAGCCCTGCCCAACAATGTGACGGTTGACAAAATATAGCAGTCAGAAGGCCAGACGCTAGAACAACACCAACTGCAAAGGAGCAGGCTGCGAATTGCACAGGGTGAAGTGCGCCTTGATTCAGTGAATACTCGGAGCCCCAGACCCAAATCCTTAGCATTAGGCCACATCGCAGGTGGAAACCTTGGTCACCGACGTTCCTCGTGACATGTCCGTCGCAAGTGGCTACTTGAGTTGTGGCTGGCGCCTCGAGGACAGCGAGCCCGATTGAGGGCTTCTATGTTCAGGGTTGCCTCAGAAATACCGTTCTGTGCCTGACCACATACCCTAAACTATCGCGGTACCCTAAACCCTAAATTCCTAAACTCTGCCTTAAGCCAGAACCGTACGGCCTGGCCTCTTCCCGTCCAGCCCCTTAGGCCGCTGTACGGACATCTGCGTTTCTTGCCCTTTGGCTCAAATGCCTCTCTGAAGGTCAGGGGAACCCCGGCTAAGGGTTTAGGAGCCCTGAAGCCCAAATCCAAAACAAGGCCTGTCGATTGCAGGATTTCTTATATGGGTTTCTGTTATACGTATATATTCATACATATGCATGTATGCACATAATATCTCTATATATATATATATACCATGATATGACATGGAGGGTTTTCCTGAAGCCTTAAACCTCACGATGCATGTGGCAGATCTTACAAAGTGCTGATGCGTTGGCACGTCATCCAGCGGCTGCCGTTCTTCGGCTGTCTCGTCGCGGGAGCTGGTGCTGCCGGTACAGGGGCCCGCTTCAGGTCACCGCCCCGGTGGACTAGTTCTTAGGAGCCCAGTAGGTAACCTTTAAACTTTTTGGTATATTAAACCCCCTACTAAAAGAAAAGTTTAACCTTTTTTGGGCCAGGGTACTGGGCTTAAAGGAGTTGGGTCGTACACACTTCCATATAACTTTTTGTGAACCCAGCACCCGACGTGCAAAACCGCGAATCCAAAGCCCGGATCAAATCCACAACTCGGGACTTCATAAACCGTCGCTTTAGGTCTGGAGAAGATCGAGGGCACGACAGGTCTCTTGGGGTGTTGGGGTTCCTGGATCTGGGTCTTCCTTTAGGGGTTTCTGTAGGGTTTCGGGCTTGTAAGCACTCACTAGTCAACATCCTGCCTTGATTTGGGGTTCAAGTTCAAGGGGCCTCTATCGATGACAGTCAGTACTTGAGATGCTGGAAGTCTGCATGCGCATAGCCTAAATGTGCAGAGGGTTGGCTTGTAGCAAGGTAGCCTGTATATGTTACGTTTCTAGGGCTTCGGCTGTCGAAACCCACAATAAGCCACTTTGACGGGACCGCCTTTGCTTTAAACGGCGCTACATCCTGCATCCTTAACCCAAACCCTGAACTGAAGCCCTATAGCCCTAAACCCGCAATCCTATAAGCTCAAATCCCTGCGCCCCCCGTTGAAACAACACAGCCTGGCCTGAACACTCGGCCGCCAAGTCCACGAGCCCAAATCCAAACGCTTGGTGCAGGTGGTTGGGGAAAGAAAATGCGCCATCCGATGGCGGGAGAATGGTTCAGGCCGTGTCAGCCACTTGCCGGCTGTAGTTACAGATTGAGGGATGAATCCTAAAAGTGTAGCAAACGATGGCCTTAAGCCCGGAAGCCTAGATTTGCGGTTATTCTAAGCCATCAGGTACCTTCGGAGCGGACCACTAGATGATAGGAGCTTTTGTCAAGGCACCCGACATCGAATTGTTTATTTTGAGACACGCTGACCTCCTCGCATTGAGGGTTTAGGGTTTGGAATGTCATCTTTGGATTTGCGGTGAAGGCGTTTGTCTTTCATCAGGCGCATGTTGCAGGCATATTCCTGTGGGGTAGAGTCGTCAATCAAGGGCTTCTCGGTCTCATTACCTCTAACTCCATGGGGCATGCCCCCGAGTTCAGACCAAAGCATGAGCTCTAGTAGACCAGATCTATTTGGATATTCAGAGTCTGCGTGGCCCGTCATTTCGCAGTTGTATCAGGGTGACCTCTGTTGGCAGTACTGGCGCCGACAGGCTGCCTGTAAAGCCCATGGGTCTTGCACAGCAAAGGCTATGATCGTGGATTCCGCGTTCTGCTTCCAAGAAGAGGTGGGGCTTCTACATGCACAGCATCAGTGAGCATAGTAGGGTGGCTAGAAGTAGAAACCTTCATAGAGTAAGCCTCATATTTTTCCGTTTTCAACTCCAATCTATAAGCTAGTTTTTGCTGCGTCCCCAAGCCCGAAAGCTTGAAGCAATTCTTTGCATATCGGGCGGCTTCTGGACCTTACATTCGCCGTAGGGTGTTGGAAATGCTCGCTGAACATCACCAAGTTAGAATCGATGAATCCCTGAGGATTCATGAAAGTCCTACGATCCGCACATGCAGCTATAAAGCCAAACTCAATGTACCAGAATTCCCTAAGCAAGCCCATCGCCGGGAGTAGCAAGCAATTCCGAAGCCCCGTCAGACTTGAAGTACAACTGAGAAAAATCCGTCAGACCAGTTCAATGTTGTTTTCCAAATCGAAACGAACCCTAATTCATAGGGTCTACACTGCTGCAAGACATGTGTACTTGAGGCTTAAACAAAAGATGAGTTTAGGCAGAAAACATATCACGGGGCAACTCTTCTTAAGCTCCTTAGCCCTGCATAGTATGGATTACTACAATCCACTCCAAGCCCCTATTCACAAAGCCGACTATATCAGAAGCCCTATCCTGGAACATGTTGGAATTGAGGAGTATGTATTTCTACAAACCCTAAACCCTAACCCTCAACTCAAATACCCTAAACCCTAAATCCCCAACCCAGTGTATCACGACGACTTCTGCACCTATGAATCCTCGCCTGGCTTGTCCGAGTTGTGAGAGTGTAAACCCTAAATACACACGCAATTCCACACTTGAAGGTTCATGGTACCTAGTAACTAGGGTTATAAATAGGGTAACTATGCTTAGAAGTACTTAGAACCCCAGTAAGGGTACTTAGAACTGTACTTACTAAGTCCCATGAACCTCCAAGCAGAGAGGTGCGTATTTCGGCCCTTCGCTTCTTCGCAGAGAGACCTGGGCCTTGCGGCCACCTCGTTGAAACCACGTCCGCTGACGACGCCTGGGAGTTGAAGGAGTCTTATTTTTTGGGTTTCGGGTTGGGGCGCAGGGTTTCGAGTCTGGGAATGAGGTCTTTCTTTCTTGAGGCTCAGAGACAGAGGCTACAGGGTTGAGGATGACGAGGATTGGGCTCATTTTTGTTTGAAGGGAGGGGGAATCGGGACATTTGTCGTGGAGGTTCGTGAGTTTTTGTTACATGGTGCTAGCCTCTGATGCGTGGGGAATGATGCTTGTAGATAGCTACCGCTTTCCATGGGCAAGGAGACTCTCCCCCCACACTTTTTAATATACAAGCTTAAGTAATGACCCATACTATTTTGGGGGGATCCTTATTCTAATTATAGTACCATATACCCCAAAGCCGTATTCTGATTTAAGGCCCCTACATTATATATCTATTCACACGGAGACGTCGTTGTGGTTTGGCAAGTCCGAGTTGCGAGAGCGTAAACTATCTGAGCTTAAGAGGGGTGAGGCCCTGGGAGACGAAGCACCTGCCAGTCATATGGGGCTTTCCGAAAGTAAGGGGTACCTTATTTTGGTGTCCTGATAATAAGGATCCTATTATTTAGGGTACTATATTAGGGTCCCCTACTCCGGAAACCCCCAAATAAACTCTAACTTACAGGCTTACTAGACTACGTACCCTAAACCTAGATACCTGAATGATAGGTATCTTGCAGCCGGTGGAAGGTGTTGAGGCCTGTGGGGGCTTGGGTCTCAGAGAGCCCTGGGCCTCAATTGTCCGGCTGTAGGATGGCGTTCATCATCTTTTGAAGTTTCCGTGTTGCAGGTCCTGGGCTGAGGTCCTTGGACATTGGTAGGGAGTCTACGTGGAGTTCACTAGATCAGGTTTGGGGAGTTCTGCTGGGCTTCTGGGCTTTGCCGCATTTCCGAATTCAAGATCGATCTGCAAAAGGCCTGGCTTGCCCTGAACGTCAGAAGCTCGAAGCACAAATCTCTGCACATAAGTCCTCATCACCTAGGCCGTACTCTTTCTCAAAATTATCAGGTTTCCGAAGACCTTATCTATCCACCAAGCCTGTAGCGCGCCCGGCCAGCAGTAACCGAGGATGGCAGCATAGAAGTTAACGAGATTTCGTTGATCCTCGCAGACCGCTCTGGACTCCAGACGCACACGCTCCAAGGACGACGGGACGGTTTCGGAATAAACAGGTATGCAACAGCACATCTCCCTTTGTTGACGGATCATTGTATGATGATATAAGGCCTATAGGGCTGCTCGGTCATCGGGAACCTAAGGGCGAACCAGAAGCCGCATCAGCCCCAAAGGCCTTGATGCTGCCTTGAAGGCCGAAATCGGAAGTAAGGAGTTCGGCTCGGCAAACACTTCCTATGCGATAGGCCTCAGCGTGGCCCGGAATGGGCCCGCCTGCGTCGGCATGGCCTTCATCTCTTGGGAGAAGCTGAGCTCGATCATTTTGTACGGTCTTATGTGGTGAACGTGGGTTTTTCTTGTCGGGTTTCAGAGTTTAGGGGGTTTGCAGGGCTGCGTTTGGTGTTTATATGTTGCACTGTCTGTAGTGCCCCCGCCAAACGTTTGCGGACGTCTTGAACAATACGAATCCCGCGTGCTCCTCAGAAAGCCCCCTCCAGTGTGGTACATAAGTACACTACAGTACCGTAGTAGTGCAGTACACTAGTACGATAGTACGATGGTGCAATAGACTACAGCAGTTGCACAGCGGTAGTACAATAAATGGTGGCGCCGGCATGTAGTAGTACAGTAGTATAGCAAGAGAACAGCAGCAGTGTTATCCTCTACTCAAACTGACCGTTAGCAGAAAGGCACTGAACCACGAACAAGCAGAAAATAATGAACCTAAATATTGAACAAGCACCAGAAAAGCGAATTAAAAATTAGGCTGAAGTTAAACTGTTTTCACACAGTAAAAAAAGCAGTAAAAGGCCGAAGCCTCGCCTTAACAAACTTACAAGTGTTCTTCCGGAAATAACCCTCGCCCTTTTATTCCCTCGACGAAAGCTCAACATCTAAATCCTGCCTGAACCCTATGAAACATCCCTCTATAGAGTTCCTCAGTGATATTATTTAGATTTGCTTCTGCAAGCCTTGCAAAATGTAGGATCTGCGGGGCAAGGCAAGCTGCATGAGAAACCAGCCTTCCGACTCGACGTGCGAAGGAATACGGGCTGTGGCGTAGTGTACACGGAGCTCACCGACATGTCTGCGGTCTATGGGGTCCGGCCTGGGTATGGTTCCGCCTAAACCCGAAGAAACTTTACAAGTGCTTGCTAAGCTGGGTTCTTGTTAAGGGAT